AATCCAATCCCAGGACCATAGTCCTAATGCAAGATTGGACCGGACCATAACAAAATTGGCGAATAGAATTGCAGTTTGATAGGATGGTTGTGAATCGTCCCATAGGATCGCAATTCAGAGGATGGTTGTGAATCGTCCTATGAGATCGCAATTCAGAGGATGGTTGTGAATCGTCCCATGAGATCGCAATTTATAGGATGGTTATGAATCGTCCCATAGGATCGTAATTTATAGGATGGTTATGAATCGTCCCATAGGATCGTAATTTATAGGATGGTTATGAATCGTCCCATAGGATCGTAATTTATAGGATGGTTATGAATCGTCCCATAGGATCGCAATTTATAGGATGGTTATGAATCGTCCCATAGGGTCGCAATTTATAGGACGGCTATGAATCGTCCCATAGGATCGTAATTTATAGGATGATTATGAATCGTCCCATAGGATCGCACTTTATAGGATAGTTCGGCAGTTCTGCAAGAATGAGTGTGAATGTGTTATTTCAAATATACTGTTAAATTACATATGTGCCGATTAAAATCATAGATGAAGTTGATTTAAAGAATATAGCATATTTTTATTACATCAACCAAATTCCTATTTACAGTACATATGAAAGCTTATCTCGTTGTGTCTACGTATATAGTCAACTTCATAGCATCCACAAGGGGAAGTTGCTGTTTATTCAAAGATGTGCATATATGCTTCACACATTACTAATGCTAGTTACAACCAGCACTAATTAAATTGCTAAAACTAATTCGTCATAAGTAACCGCTTCCTTATGGATTTTACAAAAACATATCACAGACTCTTAATAGAACATAAAAGACGAACTATCATTGTTCAATTCCGATTACCTATACCATCGACTAGCCAACAGTTTAATAATGTTAATTTGGCCAGAAAAACAATCGCCTGGTCAACGCTAACTCCTTCCATTAATGTCCATACGCGGCTGAAAGCCTCATTTCGGCATGGCGTACGAGTCGAGTTCAGTGCCATAGTTTCTTCAATTTATAGCTGTGTGCAGCAGATGCTCGGAGCACATCAGGCTCAAAGTCCTTTTAATCCAATAAACCGAATGGGTAAAAATTTCAAACTGTTCAACAAAATTGACCATTTTCGATTTTTTCATTACATGAGCCAGTATGGTAGTTAGCATATAGTTTAAATAATCAGTCAACCTACAGCCGGCAGACGGTTTCGCAACCCAGGAGATGTGAAAAAGTGTCGATTTGCGAGGTATCGGTTTGACTGTATGCACGATGGTCACGTTACCCTGGGTTTTTGTGGCGCTGCAATGCTTCTAAAAAAGTATCGGATATCCGTAAGCACAGCGCTCGCTATTTTTACAACAGGACAATATACGTCTCTACAAATATCGAGAAGTTCGTTAAAGTTAGGAATGCATCGAACTAACATTGATACATATTGATAGCGTAGGTTGATAATAGAGATAAGATGGTAAGAAATGTATAGTTACAATTATGTGTGGCAGTTCTGGTTTTCTATTCGAGTGCACCCAGTGTGCACTTATGGAGGTCGACTGTAGAAGATGTGATTCGATGGTATAAAGATGCACGTCTCAACTTGTTATCACTATCATGTGTTGCTAAAGCCCTCGAAAAGCCAAAAAATGAAGAGAAAGACAATTCAAGACAAGATTGGTACCTGATGACAGATAAGAATACTGCATTTGCTCTAGTTACTCTGTAATCATTATAATTCAAAATTACATAAAGTCGAACTGTGATAATTCGACTTCCCAGAAATTCGATAAGACTTGATTTTCATATAATTTTTATTCGATCAAACTTATAAATTTGTTAATTGACTGCTTAATACAAAGTGAAACTCGATAGGTTGGACATGGCAGGCAGAGCGTGGCCGTCCGACTTATTGAGAGGATTTTAAACACGGAAAAAAAGAAAAAGGCAGAGAGAGATTTGCCCGAGTTATCGAGTTTCGACTTATCGAGTTTCACTATGTATACGGATTGCGTTTGCTAATTCGACCAAAGCCAAATTATTTCCATTTACAGTAAGAGTTGATTATGATTATTTGACCGGTCGCATTATTTTTGTGATGAGAAATTTCGATTTTCTCAGCATTAGTTTATAATAAAAATCCGGCGCGGTATGTTTAATTCCATCTCAAAAATGCTTTGACCGAAAAGAGGCTTTATATGCCGAAGAGATATGTCAGCGAAAGCTGAAACCTTTCAATTTTTTAACTTGGAGTTACAGTAGCTAAAAAAAAATTGTATGCGAAAAACAAGCATACCATACAGAATATTGGCTCAATCAACTATATGTATATATATATATAATAAAAATATAATAAAACAAATACTAAATAATTAAGAAATCGCGGACAGATTTTGGAAGAAATCCTATCATTATGGACGTCATCTGTCATAATAATTTTACCGGTAATGTTATAATCGTAAAGCTCACAATTATGCAAAACGTTTAGTATTAGAAATTGACTGAACTAGCATGAGCAAAGAATTGTTTTAATTATCAACGACTTCAAGCAAGTACATCTGACTAGGTAGTCGTTAATTTAAATCTAATTATGTATCAAATAGGAGTAATTTTGTTGTGCGACTCAGTTAACAATTTGCTCACAAAATCATTGTTCTTTTTGATTAAGATTGTAATCCTATAGGACGACTTATAACCATCCTATAAATTACGACTCTACGGGACAATTCATAACCACCTTACAAAAACTTGCATTTTTTAAAAATGTTCTGATGAGATTTGTATGATGTTGTGCTGATAACCATGTGGCATTTACAGCTGAAAATATCATAAACATCTCGCCGCAATGTTTCGCTAAATTTCGAATAGTATATTGACGAGATTCAGCTAGATAGTTTAATTTCGTGGCTTTTATTAAAATTTTTATGTATCTCCCTGAAATCTCGTGGACACATCTTCACAATACACTAAAATTAGAATCCTCGTGGCAACCGCCTACATAATGCCTACTAGATATTTTGAAAAAAAAAATTATCCTGACGACATTGTTTCATAATATTATACAGACCTCGCAATAATATGGTAGCATTATATACGAAAGCATGCATATACGAGCCTTTTGGATTGTCAAGAAAAGCAAGTTAGTATAAATAAATCGCGTCTATGTCACGTCTAGCTTTCCAAAATTTATACAGGCTAACGTCAACAAGATATTAATTAATGTAGGACATCTTTTCAATTGCTTTAACTTTGCACTGATAAAAAACGTGGAATGGAAAGAAAAAGCGCTCTTATTACACGTATATAACTGCACAATAGATAATAACAGATTGACGGTATAATTTTTACATTTATACGCCGAATACCATATGCATGTATGTGTCACGGTTAACTATAATAATCAAAGTATGGTTCTTAAAGCAAGAACAACTCCACTTTACAGAAACTTGTGTTTTTTAAAAAAAATATCATGGCGATATTTATAGTTGACAATATTATCTCGTGACGAGATCTCTATACCAGTGTACGATAGTATCTTATCATTTCTTATTCTGAGATTGTTGTGTTTTTATGGCTAGCTGGTTTTATACCGTAATATGCTCTTTGGTGAGACTCATTTATTAAAACAAAGCAGAAATTGGGGGTTTTACCAATTATGGTATACTAATTAAATAAAATATTTTAGTATTTTATTTAGGCAACCGATGAAGTAAGTGGACCAAAAAATTATATATTTAAGTAATTATTATTTAAGTCGTGGCGTTGTATGATAGCCTTTAACTCATGCTTTCAAGTATATTTGTAATAGTAATGTTTGACAGATGGATAATTTCAGTAATTGTCATATGTACCATTACTGGATCAAATATTATGTACATACCGTGTAACATCATTGGATAAGATGAACAGTATCAACCTGTTCATCTTATCTTTTGAAGTTCCACTTTAAATATGAATACCGAAGAACGTATTTTCAGCGAATCCTCTCCCGAAGAAACCCGAACCGAAACTTCAATCGAAGAAACCCGAACCGAAACTTCAATCGATGGAACGTCTACCGACACAAATACGAACTCAACAGAAGGCCAGAGGACAAGGAAAAAGACACCAATCAGAGAATATCTAGAACCGGTTAGTGACGGCGGTAGTATCTGTAAGCTTTGTCGGACCAAATTTGGACCTAAAACAGCAACATCAACAATGAATCGTCATTTTGAGAAAAATCATATAAGCACTCACAATCAGCTGAGGCAAAGAACGTTGGATGTACAACGTCTCCATCCATATGGTCCTGCCAATCAGACGAAAGTAGATTCAATTAATGACGCTTTTCTTCGATGGGTAATAATTGATCAACAGTCGTTTTCTCTGGCAGACAATAAATACTTCCGGGTGTTTGTTACTCAACTAGATCCGCGATATAAACCTCCCTGTCGGCAAACATTATCACAAAAAATAAACAGTGAATTTCTTGTGAAGCGTAGTGAGTTGAAACAATATCTAATAACAATTCCGGGGAAATTGTCGCTGACCACTGATATGTGGACATCGGCCACCATGCAACCATATTTAGCCATCACCATGCATTGGATTGATTCAGATTGGTGCATGAGGAAGTTATTACTTGATCTAGTTCCGTTTCACGATTGCCACACTGGAGCAAATCAGGCCAATACAATAGTGGCACTGCTCAATGAGATGGAAATCGGTCAGAAATTGCTTGCAGTAACTACAGATAATGCAGCAAATATGGTATTAATGGGAAGGATTTTAAAATCAGAATGTGCAGCCCAATTTAATAATGCAGATGTAATACATCTTAGATGTGCTGCGCACATTCTAAATATAAGTGTCAAAGCAGGCATAAAGTATGTTTCTGAGGAAATAAAGCTTGCCCGTAATTTCTGTAAAAAATTAAGAGATTCGTCAACCTTACTTGAAGAACTGAAAAGAATCTTTACTGCCTTGGATAAACCATTTCTCATGCCAGAAATCGACTGTATTACGAGATGGAATAGCACATATCTTATGTTGGCGAAACTGACAAAAATTCGGGACGCCACAGATATTGTGGTACAAAGAAGAGCTGAACTGCGCCCTCATTATCCAGATGAGACAAATTGGGGAACGATTGAGGTAAGACAATGGCGTTAATGTTCAATGATGTACAACTTCATTTGTATTAATATGGTATGGTATGTTCGCATTTTGCAGGATCTCATGAAAATTCTCGAACCCATTTATAAAGCAACGGAATTATTGTCAAGCTCAACCTATCCTAGTCAAGGGGATATTAGGATTGTGTTTATCGGTCTGCTACGCCATCTACAAGACCACAGCACAAATGGTAACAGCCAACAAACGGTAGCATCCGCTATCAGGACTAAATTAGATGAATACTGGACAACTGTGGACAGTACGACTTATATAGGAACAATTCTTGATCCTCGCTATAAGCTGAGTGTATTCGAGGAGAGTCAGCGACCCACAATCATGCAACTTCTTCAAGATAAACACGATGAATACTCTCCTTCTATTGTCACTCCCGCACCCGCCAGACAGTCTAACCGAGACTATTTCAGGAACCTTGTCAATAATAATGCCAACCCAAGCCAGTCTCCGTCACTTGCAAACCAAGTCGAACTTTACCTAACCACCATGGCAGAAGAAGATGCAGATCCACTTCTGTGGTGGAAATGTAATTCAGAACGATACCCAGTTCTGGCCAGAATATCTCGTGATTATTTTGCAGTGCAAGCGACTAGTGTACCTTGCGAACAGGTATTTTCAGTAGCAAAGCATACTGCAAGCGAAGTAAGGAACAGAATAGACCCGCAGACTGCACGGGCCATATTATGTCTAAAAAGTTGGCTAGTTGATGACAAATTTGCTCAAAATCGGAATTGAGCAATGATAGTTTCCTTTACGATTTGTGGGTATCTTTTATGGTTTGGGTTGTCTTATGTCTTCTATGTTTTGGGTTTGTCTATGTGATGAGATATCAGTCTGAGATGCTGTTCTATTAAGAAGATTTATTCAGTATCAAAACCGATACACGATTTCCATTTAATAAAATGATGAAATGTTGAAAAGTCTGCATATGCAATATGTTGGATTGTCATTTTTTTTTACTTGATCTCTTATATTTGTTTTACCTCACGCTTCTTTTTTTTGTAGTATAAAATATCGATGCAATATTAAGTGGTGTTTGCGAAATCAGTCTTCGCTATCATCACTAACGCAACCTATGCCACATTGCATTTACACCTCTGTTAATAGTTGCAAAAAAATTGAATTCGCATGTATCGATTGGCATTGATTTTTCGAAAAACGCGAAATCAATTCGTCATCAATCATTAACAACTCAGCAACCAAGAATCCTATGCTCATGGTATTGACACATTTGTTTAATGATAAGTGTTTCGGTGTGTGTGCAAAACTGACAGATAATATCAATACGAAATCAATTTTCATCGTCAACCATCATTAACCCAACAACCAAAAATCCAATGTTCATGATATTTATACAGTACATTCGTTAATTTTCATCTCCGCTTTTACTTGGTGATTCTTATTCCCTTCCCATATCTTACATCCTTGCTCTTTTCTCACTCTCCCAACCACTCTCCCAACCACTCTCCCAATCGCTCACACTTTCGTTTAGTTATTCTTTTGTAGTGATTGCACTCGTCATTTCCCCCTTTTCCTTTCGATCTTTTTCAAATTCCTCTCCACTTCTTTCAATCATACTTTAGTCTTTCACTGCTACCACTCTCAATCACTACTCTTTCGCTCACTCCTCTCTATTATCTCACTCTCATGATTCTCGTTCTTGTTCACTCTCGTGCTCTCACCCATCTCTCCCATACACACATTCTCGCTCAGACAGTCAGTTCTTTCACTAAAGCTACCACAGTGGTTCTGTAATCTCACACTCACGCTTTCATGTACTAGATTAGTGTCGCTGTCATTATGCCGTATAACGTTTCTTAAATATAGTTAATGATCACTTCTTCGATAACTTTCTTATTCTCTTACACTGCTGCTACTCTTTTTCACACTCTCCCAACCTCTTCCCAACCACCCTCCCAACCACTCTCACAATCACTTTCCCTTCACTGTTCAATTCTCTCCAATTATTCACACTTTTGTTTAGTTGATCTTTTATCCAGTGATTGCACATTTGATCTCCCCTCTTCCTTCGATCTTTTTTCAAACTCACCCTCCCGCTCTCGCTCCACATCACTCGCACTCTTTCAATTTCTCACTATTTTAATTCTCACTCTTTCGTTCTCTACTTCTTTCAAGCGCTCTCTTGTCTTTTGATCACGCTCTTCGACGATCACGCTCTTGCTATTATTCTCTCACCCTCTCGTTCTCTCACCCTCTCGTTCTCTCACCCTCTCACTCTCGCACCCTCTCACTCTCGCACCCTCTCACTCTCTCACTCTCTCATTCTCTCACTCTCTCACTCTCTCACTCTCTCACTCTCTCACTCTCTCACTCACTCACTCTCACTCTTCTAATTCTTCATTCTTGCTTTATTCTTCTTACACACTCTTGCTCCCCATACGCACATTCTCACCTGTCACTCGCTCAGACAGTTAGCTGTTCGCAATTCCTCGTAGTGGCTCTGTAATCTTCGTACTCAAACTTTCTAAAGAGGTTGTGATTTCGCACTTACGCTCCCATGTATTCGATTAGTGGTTATGTTAATAATAATAACGTTTCTTAAAATAAAGTTGAATGATCGGAGTTGAAAAGTATCATTTAATTTACCATAAATGTAAATTTAGGTCACCTTTGTATCACGAAATGATTGGAGGAAAAGTATCAAAAAATACCAAACTGTTGGATTAAATGTACACTCACCTGCCAAAATTATTTCCGGATCAACAAAATCTACTATTAAAACATATAAAATTCGATACTTTTCAAAGTCTTTTTTCACCCACTTTTACGTGACAACTGCCAATAAAATTTACATGATTTGGAAGCCAATTGATTGTAGTTTATGAAAAAAAGACATGAAAACTTTAATCATATCCTAATTACAAAATAACAGCGTAATATTGCTCGCCCATCAACTATTTCTTCGATTGTCGATCATAATAACCTATAAATTAATATGATCAGCAATCGAGAAATAATCGATGGGCGAACAACATTACGTTATAACTTCCCAACTAATATATGAATAAAAATTTTGCGTCATTTTCCACAAAATGCAATCAATTGCCTTCAAAGTTATGTAAAATTTATTGCCAGTGCT